CTCAGGTATTGATTTATGTTGAATCGTTTGGTCTTTGGGTCTACTCGATGAGTTGGTCGCCCTACTCGTCGAGTAGTAGCGAGTTGGTCCACGCATTTTAATGACCTACTCGCCGAGTCCAATAGGGGACTCGATGAGTAGGAGTTGGCAGATAAAACCCTAAATCTCGGGGTTTTTAACCCTATTTAAAGAATTATAAGCCTCGTATGGCTCCTTTACAGTCCCTTGAGAGTCCAGAAAACCCTAATCCATGTGGTGCTTCATTCTTGTGTGTTCTATGCTTTGGAGAGTAGATTCTCGAAAAGAAGAGCTTGAAGGGCAAGAGGATAGAAGCAAGGAAAGTGTGGGGATCATAAATCTACCTCAGTTACCAGCATTTGAAGGTATCAAGTCGTCACCTTTACCTCATTTCTTTCTAGGCCTCATTTGGGTGACATTTAGGGTTATTTTGGCTTGGTTATGATGATATTGTGGTGTATGAGCTAGATCTGAAGTTGCAACTTCAGATCTGGACCCTTCTTGGGTTCTAGGTTCATAAAGTTTTGAGCTTGGTCATGAATGAAGCCTCCCTTGAGTGTAAAACTCCATTGTAATCTTGGATTTGTCATTAGGAGCCTTTTAGCCGTGCATGCACGTAAAGTTTGCAACTTTACGTGATAAACACCTTAGAAGCTTGGATCTACAATGTGGAGCCTTTGCATGGCTTAAAAGTGTTTGTATGGCTAAAGGACTAAAAGGACTCGGCGAGTCCCATGGTTGACTCGGAGAGTCATATGAAGATGGGCATGAACCCGATGAGTTGGACGAATAACTCGACGAGTCCGATGAAGATTGCTGTAGACTCGACGAGTTGGATGAACAACTCAGCGGTTCAGTTAAGGTTTCCCCAATTGATGGATGCATGTGAACTTGTCGAGTTGCAAGAAGGAAAAACTCGACGAGTGGCCTTAGAGCTTCGATCGCGTACCTACGGGACTTGACGAGTCACTCTGGTGACTCGGCGAGTGGGCGAGTATCTCAAGGAAATTCGACGAGTAGCTGAGGATACTCGATGAGTTAGGGTCAACATGGACTACTGACCTTGACCGTTGGCTTTAACTTTGATCGGGGGTTGACTAGTTGACTTATGGGGTACCTTGAAAGGTTGGGAACTTACGAGTATGGTTATATTATTAAAATAGGTGATGGAGTTTGTGGCAGTGATACGAGAGTTGGAGTTTTTCTACTGATTTGACATTTGCAAGGTGAGTTGTCCTCACTTTACTATCTAAGGTACCAAGGCCGGCCTACTAGATTTGTTATCCTAGTAGTCATTGGTATGTCGAGTTTGGGTTATATGTATGCTAGTTGATATGCTAGTAGGGTAGACCGGTAGGACTACCTGTGATGCTGAATGATTATCTGTATGTGCATTGGTTATGATATATTTTGATATGTTATGTGTGATGGGTTGAGGTAAGACTGCTTCGTGCTGTAATCCAACAAAACCGGGAGCATTACATTTAAGGTTAAGGGAGACTCGTATTGTGGGCTCGATGGCAATCCAGATGTGAACTGTGGGCCGGAAGCAATCCAGACTCATACTATGGGCACAGAGGATAATCCAGTCCGTCACGCTGTGGACCTAATACATGCTGTTCAGTTGTTATGTTATTGTTGACATGGTTATGTGGATTGTATGTGTACTGGTATTTTGGGGGAGCTCACCAATCTTTTAGGCTTACAGTTTTAGTTTATTGTTTCAGGTACATCAGATGATCGTGGCAAGGCGTAGGCATGATCGTACAACTCCTCACTTTTTATGACTCTGTTTTTAGGACACTCTGATATGATGCTTTTTATGACCTTGTGTCTGGTACGTGTCTATTATTCTCTGCTCTTTATTATTTGCATGACTTATGGGTAAATTAAGTTGTATAAGGACCTTTTCGGTCAATGGTATGTCGATGCATATCCTGTTTGATTCGGGTGCTACCCGGTCGTTTGTATCTCTTGCGGTTAGCAAGAAGTTCTGGGATGCACCGAGAACTTTGGTTTTCCGCTCGAGGTAGAGATTGTGGATGATCACAAGACAAGTTTCGCGTGAGTGATATTAGTTTGAGCAGCTAGAGTCATTGGCATTGTTGGGATCCAATAAATGCTAGTTGGTTTTCAAGAGTCATGTTGTTTGAAAGGGTTATTCGTGGTGCTCTAGCTCTGTTAGGCGTCGACCATCAGTAGACTGTAAATTGGGTGGGAGAGGGTCTGGGGAATTCTTCAATCATCGTGTGCCGAGTAGACCTAGTTGAATCTAAGTGGGGGAGAATCATATAGATATCTAGGATGGAAGTGAGTATGAGACGAGGATGCGTTCACATCCTTATTGGGGGAGGAAAGGCGGCCTTTGGGGCCGATTGAATATAGGATATCGAGGGATGAGAGTTCGGGAAACTCCCCAATGTCAGAATCGCGTCTTCTTGACACCATATAGTAAGATTTGGAGGAGGGAACCAGGTAGAGTTCCGGTCAGTATTTGAGTTCAACTGGGAGGATATACCGTATGAGTGCTTAATGCTGAGATGCGATTGGGGTGATAGATGAGTGATAGGGCTTTGGCAGTGACCATATTTGTGCGGAAAGTGTTCGAAGTCTACAGGTGTAGCTGTAGCATTAGTGGATTCGTTTAGGTGACTTATACGAGGGTAGACCATTTCGCAAAATCGTGGGGAATCCACAATTTAGGTGAAATCAGGATCGGAGAAGATTGTTCGATCAGATATCTGTGGTGAGCCTGGATGGTTTTGGGAATTCAGAATGGAATTGGTATAGGCAAGGGTTTGGATCTTAAGTTGTACGATCTTGTGGATAAGCGGTACTTGACTCAGGAGGGCTATGGCTGGGTGGTCCTGTTATTTAATCTCTTGGGAACCTGGTGGTTGGACCGGGTGCGAGACTAGTAATCTCGGGGATCGGCTAAGGGTATCTATTTACTGTTCAATTAAGGGTAATCAAATATTATGATGCATAAATGATCTTGAGGTAGTGGTGGAGTAACGACCTGTTTTGGATAGGACTCCGAATCGGGGTTTACGCATATTTGGTATAGGATTTTGATTTTGTGAGATGGAATTCGGGAGCATAAGGATGTCAAGGGCATCAAATACAGTATACCAGGGTAATGAGTGGGTTGGTTCGATGGTAGCTCATGCCATCATGATATGTCTCGGGTGGTTCTATCAATAATGGGACCACAACATGTTTGAACCAAGAAGAGATGAGTTGGAGGAGGTCGGGTATGATGTAAAGTATGGATGTTCTAGTAACATTCATCTTTGTGTTGGGTTCAGTAGCGACAGGTTGTTCGTCTATCATGATCAGATGGATCAAGGATAGAAGGGGTCGAGAGAAGAGGTATCATCGCGGCTGTTATTGTCAGACGAGGTGTCCTTCAGAGGTCAGATGAGATTGTTGAGTGTGTGTTGCTAGCTTAGCAATTGAGAAGATGTTTGGTGTTTTGGATAGTTGGCAGGCGAGTTGGGACCACGAGGGTACCGACCATTCTTCAAGAAAGCAGCCATGTGGCAGCAAGGGGAATAGGTGTGACTTCGGTGATTTGGAATCTTTGTTCGGAATTACGAGTTATTCAGTAGTCGCAATTGATTGTTGACTTTTGTTCTTTAAGAAGCCTCAAGGTATTATGAGTGTGAAGTATTCTGTCTAGGCCGGTCTCTTGTGGAATCAGTTCAAGGATGATTCAATGTGGGTAGTCTGTCAGGGAGACAGACCATCCCGAGGCTTGAGGTTTCAGATAAAGCGAACGTGATTAGGTTGCAAGGAAATCATTCATCCTCAAATTCTAGAACCTTGCAAGGGTTAGTTTTGATTGCCTTGGGAATACGAGGGTATTATCGGGTTTGTGGCCATGGCGCTCAGGTAGTCTATTATGTGGGGAATGGCGATGCATGACTTCGAGGACGAATTCTAGTTTAAGTGGGGGAGAGTTGTAACACCTTGTTTTAAAGTACTCGGTTGGGGTCTCGGAAACCAAAGAGTAGGGGCGATTCGGTCTTTTATGGGTCCCGGGTTTCATCTGAAAAGTTTTGGACTTGGAGGTATCGATCGGAGCGTAGGGCTTCTCACCACCTTTTCGTGGATATAAAGTTCGTTAGAAACGGACTTAGAATGAAGGATTTATGACACTTTGAAGTTATTGGCGAAAATGGCCTCTAATGGAAATAAATGACAAGGAAGGACCATGCATGCAAAGTGGAAGGCGCATGGTACACCCAGTGTAAGCTGGGTTACGCCCAACATATAAAAGGAAATGGTCTTGGTACTACTAGAAAAAGGCCTTTTACGACGCTCATTGCGTGTCGTAAAACGCTCAGACGACGCGCAAATGCGTGTCAAGGAAGGCCCTGTCATAAAGAGAGACGACGCGCATTTATGACGCGCGGTTATGACACGCAATGCGTATCAAGGAAGGCCCTTTCATAAAGGAAGACGACACACATTTGCGTGTCGTAACCTTACGATGCGCGTGTTTATGACACACAATGCGTATCAAGGAAGCCCCTGTCAAGAAAGGCCATGTCATAAATGAAGATGACACACATTTTTGCGTATCATAATTTTAAATGTTCTAAAAAAAATATTTATATATTTATTAATTTTTAAATTACATTTGCATTTAATGTCTCATAATAGAAATAAAATATCATATACAAAAAATACAATCCATTGCATAAAATTTAATGTCATACAATTCTATTTTTTACAATATCTAAATTTGCATCTAATCTACTCTCTACATCAAATTCCAACTAAGTAAAGTTGCATCTTGCCTTTTATAATTCTTTAAGACTAATGCTCCAAACAGATGTTATATGGATAAGAAGTTGTACATTGGCCCATCTACTCTGTGTTTCATACTAACAATTGAAATGAAGAATGCAACACTTGCATTTGCAGCATCTTATCTCTTTCGGCTTGAGCTTTGTTTTCCTCTTCTAACTCCAAAGCTATTCGCTTTCATCAACCCTATAAACACAACACAAAATCACTTGTCATTTTCATTCTACTTTTAAAATTAATTCTTATCAGGACATTCTGCTTTTAAACCTACCAATCTACAAATTTTTCAAAGAATATAATCTATAATTTTTATGGAAAGTGTCAAGGGGGTTTCATTAAACTTCCAAAATTGTATCTATTCTCACCAAATCTGACCAAAATGGCAGGTGCATTGTAAAATGACCATTACGCCCTTCAATTTGATCAAGTGAAATTAAAATGAATATCAAGGCTATCTTTGTCATTTTTGACAGATTTCTGACAGTGGTGCTGGAAAATGGTAAAATAACCCTTATGCCTGTAGTTTGATTTCAAATTGTAAAAATCATCAAGTAAAGTTAATCAAAAGTTCAGGGGTATGTTCATCATTTTTGCCATTTTCGATGGATTTTAGACAAAATGCCATTGAAAAATGGTAAAATGAGCATTACACACTTCACCTCGATTTCAAATTGGTAAAAACAACCAAGTAAAGTTAATCTAAATTTCAGGGGTATTTTCATCATTTTGACCATTTTGAACAGATTTCTGATCAAAATGTTGTGGAACTGATCAAAAGTTCAGGGGTATTTTTGTCATTTTTGCCAGATTTGGTGGAACTAACATGAAATGGAGAGTTGGATGACCCTTTTAATTGTTTTTATTAATAATTTGGTGTTGTATTTGGAACTTTGGCCAACATACACAGATGGTGGTCTGCAACAACCGGCTTCAATGGGAGTTAATTTTGCCAATTCATATTGTTTAAGAGTCTACAAAATTAACAAAAAAAAAATTGTCATCACATTCTTGAAACAAATCCACAAAGTTAAACCAATCAAATACAAACCTTGAATCTTTTCGATAAGTTACTGCAATCATCAGTTTTCACAAGACAAGTTTGCAAGTGCTTCCAGTAATGTGTATTATTCAACTAAAACCCAAAACCAAGAAACAAAAAAAGAAAGTTAATTTACAAGATTTTATGTTACAATCTAGATTCACAATCATTTCTTCCTGTTAATTTACAAGATTTTATGTTACAATCCATGTATGTGTGTTATTCAACTATACAGTGACTGAAGGTTATTTCCATGTATCATATGCAAAAAAAGCAAAGTAATAGATACCGTTTTAGGTTGTTGTCCTAGGCCTTCTTTGGAGAAAGCTTTTGTCTTTGTCTCCTTTTCACAAATCTTAAACCATTCCATTTCTCGCTCAATAAGCTTCGGGCCGTTCATCAGAGCCTGCTTATAAGAGTCACTAACCTACGTCAACACGTATCAGAAATAAGAACCAGATGTCAACAAGGAAGTATATGAAACAAGATATAGGCATCTAATTCTTAGAATAGAAGCTAAAACGAGATTAAATTTGAAGTAGAATAACCATTGTCAACAACAGGGAAAGTAACAGGAAGACACCAGATTGGGTGCACTTGTAGAATATACGTTTTTTTGTCCCAGGAGCACATGTAAATTATGTTGAGATTGTTACCTTTATTAGGGATGTTATAGTTTATTTTCAATAATCAACATTTTTACTACAAAATTTTAGTTGTTGCTTCAAATATGATTAGTTTGAGGCTAAAACGTCACAAAATGATTAATTTCAATCAGTTTTGTTAACTACCAGAAAATTATTATTACAACGCTTCCAAACACTTTGTTAATGGTAGTTAAATTAACTTTTCATATGCCTTCAATCAACTAATTCGTAGAATAATATATAGGTTATTACTATTTTAAAATCTATTTAATAAGACTATTTATAAAAATTATGTTATATAAAATATTATAAATTATTTTTAATATTTTCTTTTTGACCTTTTATTCGTTTATTTTTTTAACATTTTGTTTGAATAATTTTTTTTTAATATTTTTAAAGTTTTGTTTATTATAATCTTGTTGATATTGTACAGATGCCAGAGGAGTATTATTTTGAGCAGTGTAAGCAAGATTAGAATCTATAGTGTAGTTTGGATATTGATGAACACAACCTGTTGAGGGTATGATTGATTTGGCTGTTGTTGCTGATAGCTACTACTAGAGTAACCTGCATATCCTATGTTTCCATATCCATATGGGTCATTGTTCAGGTATGTAGAAGTTGCAGTTGCAGTTGGAGTTGCATACTTATCATACTCTAAATTAGCTTCTCTAGAACTTGAAAAAGTGCCAACAGATTGCGCACTCAATCTATCTTGAAGGTTTCTTGATTGAGGTTCTGAATGGTGATCATGGTTGAAGTTTATCCAATACAACGAATTTATAAGAAATTAAAGAATAAAGGTTTATTATATAAAATAAATATGATATTCATATTATAAATTATACCTGTAATCAAAAAAATATTCTTCCAAGAACAAAAACTCCAACTGCAGTATAACTACATGACATACAAAGAGTAGTAATTGGATTGAAGATGCAATTAATATAAAAAAGAGAAAAAAGAGAAAGGGGGTCTTAACATACACATTCCCAAAGCTGTTCTTTGCATAGGCTCCACCCTCATGGCCAACATACATAAAAAGAGATCCAAAGTGTTTGAGTGAAACCTAATAACACCATGGAAGTCAACCAGAAGATACCAATGAGCATTATCAGCCATACAAGTATGATAAAGGAACATCGGATATTACAGGGACATTAATGAAATACAAGAAATACAAAGAGGTAATGTTTATAGACCCCCAAACATCATAACAACAATGAAATGAACAAGGGAATTTATTTACCTCTCTATCAGACTTCTCATTTTCAAATTTGGGATAGAATGTTGCTCTGATTTTGGCAGTGGAGTAAGTCGAGTTGTCTACATTAAAATTCTCCAACAAATCTTTGTTGAACAAACAGCTCAAAGCAGCAGTTTGAGCTGTAGTTTCCTGTCTGGTAGTTTCTTTTGCAGCATCACCAGAAACTGTCCCATAAGACTTTGGTTGGTAGACACATTTTTTACCATGTAAAGAGTTGGCATTTATTACTGGAGAACATCCAACTGAAACATGGGACAACTGTCCATTGCTTTGACCATGAGGAGTTGCTACTGCTACATCATTCACGGTGATACCCCCAAACTGTGGCATAAGAACAGAGGATCGTGCACTGTTTTCAGCAATAACAAACCTATTAACTCCAATTGTGATAACCTCAATAGAAGCTGCAGAGTTAACTTCTGCAGCATCAAACGTTTCATTTATTTTGCTACTGCTTGGCTTCTGAATCCACCTCTGGTCTGGTCAACCACCTCTTTTCTGGACAAAATCAAACTTAGCCAATTATTAGTAGCGATGAAGCCAAATTACATCACATTGTACAGACAATAGCCCAATCATCGAGTAAAAACAATATGAAACATACTTCTCATATATGATTAATCGATTAAAGCCCAATAAATTTTCTCATAAGCCCTTGCCCACCCTCAAATATAAAAAATAAAACCAATTAGTAACAAAAAGTTAAGTAAATAGAGGTGTTATTGATGAAATACCTGGTTACGCGGCATGAAATCCAAGATGTTAGAAGCGATGATAAAGCCAGGATGATGAACAAACTGGATAGAGAGAAAGAAAACAAAACTGAAACTCCTCAAAGAAGAACAGAGAGTGCGAGTAGAAGTTATTGCAGAGTGGGATACGAATACCGACATTCACGTAGAAATTGGAAGAGAGGGGTTTTTATCAGACTGTACAGTCTTGATCTTTAAGTGTGAACGATGGGGGAACAGACCCTTTGTTTACCTGCAATTGCAAACATGGAGACATAAAGGTGTGAGATATTGAAGTAGACATATGATCGAGAAATCAATGAAATGTACCTTAGCAGAAACAATGGGAGAGGATCTCTATCCCACAGTGAAGAAGGCGTGCGACCAAACCACCAGCATCGATTAATCCTAATTTTGAAAACAACAAACCATTAAATTAGAAAATTCCAACCCTAATACCCCCTAAAATTGATTTATTAGATAGAACCTGCAATTATTTATAGTGAGAAGGAGATGAAAAGCAAGAACGATAGGATAGATTACGACGTGAAGAAGAAGAGGGTCATAGGTTCGTAAGAGTCAAGAATCATTGCCAATCGAACGATCGGTGGAGTAAAAGGGGATGAAAGACTGGAAATTAGGTTTGGGGGAAACGCCAGAGGAAAACCAACCGTGAAGTCTTCTACCTCAGCGTAAGGTCACAGCTTGGCAGCCAAGTTTCACCACGATATCGTTGGTCGATTTGTAACGAGGAAGGCCTGACGTCGCCGGAGGAGAAGTGACCAAAGGCGAAGCAAGGTGAATCATCCAATGTTTCAGAGCTAAGAGAGATGCGAGAGTGTTTTCGTTCTTGAAAAAAGCCCTAGCTAAAATGGTCACAACGATTTTGTGGAATTTAGTATTTGGTGATGTTTTAGGATTTTGTTGTGCAAGAAAATAGGAGTGGTTATGATATTAGGGTTTTTTGGGTATTGATCAGTGAGGAGAGGGAAGAACGATGGAAATAATGCAGAGGATGAACGAGATGTTTGATGATACTGAAGATGAAGATAAGGGACCTGGGGCTTTTCCTTGCTAAGTAGAAGAGGCGGGGGGGATTAATGTTTGGGATTCAATAGGCAGGGGTAATTTTTGTCGATTTCATTTCCCGCCTAAAACGCGTGTTTCACTTAAAAATTATAAAGCGACACATTTACACGACGCACATTTTATGAAAGGCGCCCTCCGCATTTCTTTTTTTTTTTTTCTTTTCTGACACTAATTTTAGGGCGCGCACAAATGCGTTCCCTCCATCCTTCAAATTTTTCAAAATTGACATTATCTTTTAGGTCACTTACAAATGCGCGTCGTCTATTAGCGAGTGTCATCATTGTTTGCGCGTCATTAAAGGTCAGTTTTCTTGTAGTGCGGGTGTTTTTGGCGTACGCCCAACGTATGTCCAGTGTCCATAATCCTAATTTTAGGGCCAACCTCTATATAAAGAACTTAATGGCTCAAACCCTAGCCTCCTTATCTGTCCCCCAACCTCAGAGATAACCTAGATCGCCTCATCCCTTTATTCTTGTGTGGTTTTAACCATAAGAAGCTCATTTAGGTGGTGTAAGCTTTGAAGAGGAAAAGAAGAAGTTGGCAAGGAAGAAATTGGGAAGTTGGAGCTCATAGATCTGGGATAGCATCATCCTTTGGGACTCTTTGGAGGTATAGCGTTCATAACTTTTCCTAAGAATTCTTAGATCTAGTGTAGTTTGGTTTTGGAGTCATTTTGGTCCAAAGAATGGACCTTTATGGTGAAATCTCGTTTGTGAGCTTAGGGTTGCCACCCTCAGAGCTAAAAGGGTCCCATAAGTAGTAAAGTCTCCATATTGAATGTCTTAATGGGTTCATGCATGAGATCTATCCCTTTTCAGGGAAGTAGAAAATAGTTTTTGGAGTTGGGCTTGTTTGGGCCATGTAAAGTCACCAAGTTAGTGACTTTATGGATTAAGACATGGAAAAGGACCAGTATCTATGATTGTAGTTTCTAAAGTGAAGTATTGAGCACTTAATGAGAAATAGACTTAACAGGAGGTTTACGCTGAGCGTACGTGAAGGTACGCATAGTGTATGCACCACTTAGTCAATAAGCTTAGCGTACGTGGATGTACGCCCCGCGTAGTCTGTCAGTTGGGCCTTGTGCAATTGGGCAATAGTTTGGGCCATGCTTTGGTTCTTTGGGCCTTAGTAGGCCATCAAAAGTCAGATAATTTAGGCCAAGAATATGTTTGGGCTTAGGGTAAGGCCCTTTAGAGGGATTAGGCCCAATTGAGAAAATCGGGCCATTAGTGGACCACTAGTAGGCTTGGAAAGCCTACCTAGTGTTGGGTTTTGTTTTGAGATTTGGGCCTTAATTTTGGATCATACTGGCCCAGGGGTAAAATGGCCATTTTACCCCATGCATAGATTAAGGATTATGGTATGGGACCTAGTTGCTAATTTGGTATGTTGATCTGTATTGATGTTGAGGAAGTGGGCGGGGCAGCAACTAAGGATTTCTTCAGGAAGCTTCTGAATTCGAGATGAGTCTTCTCACCATACCAATGGGTCTAAGGCACCAAGACCGGCCCATTTTATGATAGTTGGTATACTTGATGTGTAGAGGTGTGTGGCATTGTTATGCATTGATATATGGTAGAGATAGGTTTTACAACTTGTGGTAGAGATAGGTTTTACAGCTAGTGGTAGAGATATCCTCAATGGTTAATGGTAGATATAACCTTCAGGAGTAATGGTAGTGATAACCTTTAGGGCTAGTGGTAGAGATAGCCTTCAGGGATAATGATAGAGATAGCCTGTATGGCTACGGGTAGAGATATCCTTTGTGGATAATGGTAGAGATAGCTTTATAGCTAATTGATATGTGTTATGTGGTAGAGGTAGCTTTTATAGCTAACTGATATGTATTATGAGGTAGAGGTAGCTTCATAGCTAATTGATATGTGTTATGTGGTAGAGGTAGCTTTTATAGCTAGCATTTTATGTGGTTTGTGTGCGGGGTATGCTCTGGGGAACTCACTAAGCTTCATGCTTACACGTTTGTTTATGGTTTCAGGCACTTCAGATTCCAAGGGCAAGGGCAAGGCGTGCTGGTGCGACATGCACTCTCTCGCAAATATTTTATGGGATGCTCTGATGTTTGGAAAAAAAGTTGTATTGAACTTATGTTTTGAAAAGCATCATTACTGGATCTCTTAATGTATGAGAATATGTTTGCTTATTCTAAAATGAAAATTTTACTTTGAAAATTGGGTTGTTACACTCAAACTCTTGTGCTCCGTGTAAATGATACAACGAACCCTATACAAGTAGTGATGCCAAATCATGAGTGGGATACTTCTCATTGTGATGCTTCGGCTGCCCTAAAGCATAAGCTATCACACGACCCTTCTACATCAACATTGCCCCCAATATCGAAAATGACGCATCGCAATATACCATAAAATCATCGATACCTTTTGGTAAGGTAAAAATCGATGCCTCGCAAAGCTTTTTCCCTAAAGTCTCAAATGCCTCCTACTTCTTAGGCCCCCAACGGAAAGTTACCGACTTCTTTGTATACCTGGTAAATAGAACCTCGATACTAGAGAAATTCTCAATAAACCTCCGACAATACCCGAATAAACCAAGGAAAATATAAATATCAGATGGAGACTTCAGATCCTCCCACTATATCATGGCCTCAATCTTTGCTAGACCAACAAAGATACCCTTCTGATTGATGAGGTGCCCCAAGAACTGCATCTCGCGTAACCAGAACTCACACTTGGAGAATTTGGCAGAAAGCCTCTCCTCAGAGCCTCTAGAACCTCTCGCAGATGATACTTAACTACTCCTAGGTGTTGGAATAGACCAAGATATCATCAATGAAAACAATTACCGACCGATCCAATCTAAGACTATGAACCTGTTTATGATATCTATGAACGCTTCTTATGCATTGGTGAGCCCGAAAGGAATCACCAGGAACTTGTAATGACCATAACGAGTTCTAAAAGCCGTCTTATAAAAATACTCACCCCTAATCCTCATTTTATGATATCCTGAAAGCAATTCAATTTTGCAAAACCAAGACATACCCTGTAACTGGTTGAAGAAGTCATCAATACTCGGGAGTGGATAACGGTTATTCATTGTTAAATTGTTAAGCTGCTTGTAGTTAATGTACATCTTTTAGGACCCATCTTTCTTCTTTAAAAATAGTATCGATGCTCCCCAGGGTGAAATAATCGGCCTGATATACCCCTTTTCTAATAGCCCCTGTAGTTGTGTAGACAACTCTTTCATCTCTGGAAGTACTAACCAATAATGTGCTTTGGATATCGGTCCTGCACCTGGAACCAGATCAACAAGGAACAAAACATGTCTCTCCGGAGGCACTCCAGGCAAGTTATCTAATAACATATCTGGGTAATTTTAGACGATAGACACATCACCAATTGTTTTCTTCCTCTCATCTCTGGTATCCAATACATAATCCATAAAACCAAAACAATGTTGTACATATCTCCTAGGTCTCATGGCTAAGCAGAGGATTGGTCCATGATGAGCAAACATGCCATGAATAACTAGTTCCCCCCCCACTTAGGTTTTGAATCCGAACTAACTGGTGACAGTAATTGTGACAACCCGATATTTCGAATCATTGTAATGACCTAAAAAGTCAAAAATTGTAACCCCTTTTGATATAATGAAACTATTGTCAAAAATAAAATGTTCAAAAGTCATCTACTAGATTTCATAAATGATAGATATCGTGTCAAGGGCTTTAGAAATATAAAGAACACTGAAAACCGAGTTATAACGAAGAACTTATGACCAACCTAAGATTCACAACAAAAACCATCAATACGGTTAAACGTAAAAAGAGAAATTTCAATAAAATACTTATTAGCCTTAGGTATCTAAATAAAAGTCATAGATCTTATTAAACTGTGAACATAAATAAAAAGAATGCCCGAATATGACTTTGTATGAGGAAGTTATGATTTTTCGAAGTTTAAGTATAGCGGTAGACAGATAAAAACTCAAAACAGAGATCAAGCAATTTCTATCTGAAACAACCTAAATGAGAATTGAAGACCTCAACAATAGTAGTACAACGGTAAAAAGTCTGTCGAAAACAGACA